GAGAATGTTGTCACCATCATTAAACCAATGTTATCTGGACTCTGGGTTTTCTTACTTCCTATTCAAAGTGTTGAAGCGTATCATGCCATAAGCCTAAAAATATAATAATTACAGTTAATAAAATGCAAAAACATAACAACACTTCATTGCTATAAGATAAGACGCAACATTACCTACTGGTACAATGTGAAAAATGTTTCACTGCTCCAAGCAACCTCTTAAAACTAAGAGAGAAAAAAAAACCCTGCATGCATACATTCAAATGTCACAAGAGTTTGGTAACATGGAGCAAACTAGTCTTTCATTATGTGACCCCCCCCTAGTTGAAAATGTTATCACTGTTGTCACCCTAATAAAACTAATGTTATCTGGACTCTGGGTTTTCTGACTTCCTATTCAAAGTGTTGAAGTGTATCATGCCATAAGCCTAAAAATGTAATATTACAGTGGCTAGCATGGAGAAGTTAAACAGTGTTGTTAAAAAAATATTATTATATTATCTGAATATACTTTCTAGTTTTATAACAAAATTGACATTCTAATTTTTATGTTGTTTGACCTTAAATTTAAACTATTTGAAGAATATCCAAAATAGGTTTGAACGTCGGCTAAGTTCTTGTTTGTGTAATAAATATAATTAGTTATAATTATTTGTTTTACTTGGTAGGTTACAAAACAGAGTAACTGCATGATTAATAGTTATAGATGAAACTCTTAAGTCCCCAACTTTGTTGGAAATGCACTTATGAACATGTAAAACAATACTCAATTGTCTGGAAAAATGTATACTGTATTGTTACAACAGGTGACTGGTAAGTGAATAAGTCTTCCACTGTTTCTAAATGTTCTACAATTCTAGAGCTTAGCATGTTGCTTTGAGATATCCAGTGCACCATGCACATCTCCACCCATGCATGGTATTTGGGTGTTTGGCATTAGGCACTGTAGGGATGCATTACTATTTTCATGTTTATTTAGTTGATCAGAGATTTTTAAAAAGTATGTGTTTAAACAATGTAATTTTATTAAAGGCTAGCATGACCTCAGATATTATATTTACATTCATAATTCACCAAATACATTTATAGATTTATTGATCTTTGTTATTTATCCTTTCACAGTATCTATTTCAAATGCAACACTGCTGTTTTAGTCTTTTAACTTTTTTAGCATGGGCTCATTCCCTGGTACTGACCTTGTAACCATTTTTGTGCTTTTATACTTTTCATGCTATAACTTTTAAATTAGTAAGTGAATGTTAACAAAATCTGGCAAATTATCAGTAAACATTACAATTGCTTTCATACACAAAATATCAATTTTTTTATTAAGTCTTAAGGTTTGTAAAGCAATGTTTTTCTCATGTAATTTTTTTCTTTTCACATTTTGTCTATCCATCATGCTAAGTAAATTTTCATTTTAAGATTAAAAATACTTTTATGCATCAGAAAATTTTGAAATTTCAGATGTGAAATCTTTATAAGGCCAGATAGTTATCAAATATTTCTTAAGAAAAAACTATATTTTATCTGTTATTTTCAGTAATTAATCTGTATGGGTTTGATAGGTTTGACCAATCTTGCAACCACCATAAAAAGTTAGGAAATAAATATAAATTATGCCTCTTTCATTCTAGAACCAAAACAAATTATAACACAAAAGCATAAATGTTGAGACTAAATAGCTTAAATCTCATAACATTATACATTTATATATATTTATTATTTTTATTATATTGACCTTTCAGCCATGCCTGGCTAACAATAGATAGGCTACAATGATGGGGCTCACCTTCACTCATATTACCATATCAAATAACATGAAAATGACCTTTGGTCTGTACAAAGTAACTTGTCTTGGCTGTGTTTTAGTAGACTAGTATTTTGTCAAATACAGTAACATTTAAATTATTATACATTATATATGTATATAGATTATTGCTGTTTACAAATAACTTCTTAAACTTATTTTTCTTAAAACACAGAACAGTAAATAAAGAAGTAAACCAAACAATTATCTCTTGTAGTTATGACCTTTGTACTCGGTTGCTGCTTGACATAGGTTGCTAAGCCTCAACAAATTTTGCACGTGGAGGATATAAAACATTTTTTTTTAGGTTTCATATATACAGTTGAATAACTAAAAAAAATCATAAATTACTACATTAATACCATAGAATTCCACAATAATTTATTAATCTTAGTAAGTAAGATGTATTTTAGTCTAAAAAAATATATAATTTTGAGTAGACTAACAACACACCCTTCCTCCTTGAAATATTGGTTCAAAAGAAAGAAATGGTCATTTGTCATGTATAAAAGTAAGTGTATGTAAGGGAACATGTCCAAAATTGGGAAATGGTGGGTGGGGTGCCACTATGTTTGATTTATTACATGAGCAATATCTTAGGAAATAAATTATTTTATATTCTAGCTTGTCAATATTGGTAATTTGAGTTTCTAATTTGTACAAATCTATAGACTTAGTATTTTGACTTCACAGACTTCAGTGCTGCATTCAACATACTATGTGTCACACAAAAATTGATGTTTATCTCTGTTTTTTAATATTTACTTTTAAATTAAGAAATCAAGTAATGTGTAGTACTAAAATTTGAATTATAATGTACAGTTTGATACCAAATTTATT